ATTGTACCAAAATGATAAGAAAGGCTAAATCTGACTACTATTTATCTTCTCTTAGAACCACTCAAGACAATACTGCCAGCTTTTGGAATACTATCAGACGGGGGTTGTCGCGCCGCTCCTGTTGCCGGTGGAGCCGCTGTAATTGATGAACAGCAGGGCTGAGCTGCTACGGGACTCGCGCTGCAGACGTGTCGCGCCGCTGACGTGCCCGGTGGAGCCCGGCCGTTAGCCGTATAAGCAATGCTGAAGTCTTGAATGCTCTTACACATCTAAATCACAAGAAATCAAAAGGTGAGGATGATCTTGACCCATATCGCCTGCGTCTGAGTGCCCGCATTATCACTTCACCGTTAGCTCATATTTTTAACTTAACTTTAACCTCTGGGAAAATCCCAGCAGTGTGGAAAGCCGCACAGGTTGTTCCATTACTTAAGGGTGGTAGCTCAAGTGACCTAAATAACTACCGTCCAATATCAAAGCTATGCTGCTTGGCCAAAGTTTTAGAATCCATAGTAAATGCTCAGCTGCGGGTTTTCCTGGACTCACACAATATACTTCAACCACAGCAATCAGGATTCAGGCCAGGTCACAGCACTGCCACAGCTACAACACTTGTTGTTAATAATATTATAAACGGCCTTGATATTCACCAGCACTGTGCAGCTCTTTTCGTCGATCTGTCTAAGGCATTCAATACGGTGGACCATAATATTTTATTAGGCAAACTATCATCCATTGGCCTAGACAGTCTCTCTATCAGCTGGTTCTCTGACTATCTTTCAGGTAGAACACAAGCGGTAGTTGCAGATGGTGCTAGATCCAGCTCTCTTTCTTTGGGCAAAGGTGTTCCACAAGGATCCATCCTGGGCCCACTTTTATTTACTTTTTATATTAATAACATTTTACTCCCCTCACCACTTTGTGATGCTCATTTTTATGTGGATGACACAATTTTATACAGTTTTGGCCCCACTCTTAAATCAGCCGTTGCAAGCCTGCAATCTGCTTTTAACTGTTTTCAATTGTCTCTTATTTCCCACAAACTTGTCCTGAATCCCAGTAAAACTAAAGCTATGTGGTTCACAAGGTCGCAACTAAATGACTCCTGTCTCAATATTCAAACCCTGTATGGTGAGTCAATTGAAACTGTTGAGTCTTAAAAAAAAGTCATGTTTCACCTCACCCAGCAGGAAGACCATCGTACAATCCACAATAATGTCTGTTTTTGATTTTGGTGATGCCATATACATGCCTCAGCTTCCACATTGAAACCTCTTAATGCAGTTTTTGACAGTGCCTTACGTTTTATCACTGGAGATCGGTATTTTACCCATCACTGCATTTTATAAAAAAAAGTGGGCTGGCCCTCTCTCGAATTTCGCAGAGAACAGCACTGTCTTTTATTCATTTATAAAGCCTTGTGTGGAAAGCTTCCCTTATATTTAACCTATTTAACCTTATAATACACGTTCACAGACACAGCTTAGACTTCACATCCCACGTATAAAAAGTGAACTAGGAAAGACCGCCTTCAGTTTTTATGCCCCTGACAGATGGAATAGACTCCAGGAGTCACTTAAATTAGATAATCTGGTTTCCATCGAGTCCTTCAATGTGCTACTTGACGAGGCTTTACTTAGAGATCAGTCTTGCTCCTGTTATTTTTAGTCTTGTCTGTATCTACTATGTTTAGTTTTTTCACTTTTACGTTGTAAAGACTGTATTTTTTGTATTCTGTACTCTCATGTTTATGTACCTTGTAATTTTGTAATTGTGTGTGTTATGTATTGCATGCAGGGCGTCCTTGAAAAAGAGAGCTCACTCTCAATGGACCTCCCTGTTGAAATAAAGGTTAAATGAAATGAAAAAAAAAACTTGACACATCATCAGTCACAGCCCAAGTACTGTTCCAATTCAAAGCTCACATTTAGCCAAGTTCAGTCCAAATGCCCGGATGTGTTCTCGCCACGCCCCTTTTACCGGGGATGCATTGGAGCAGACTTGTGTGGACTTCAGACAGCCAGGTATCCCAGCATGCATTTCGCAACAATCTTCAGAAATGGCAAGTGAGGGAAAGGCGCACAATTGTATGCCATAATTACCGATATGTTACTGTTGTGTTGTCACGGAACGTAGTGTTTTCATGCATAGTTTAAACTTCAAACCCGTGGTCGATGTATTAATACAGAGCCCACTTGAATGTGAGGTCCGCTAGGTGACAGCGGTGTCAGCGCTCATAGATAATAAACATATGTGTATGAGCACTCAGGCTGCCCCACCGAGAGCAGCCTCTCTCAGGTAGTCCTTTTAAATTCGTCACTGATATCTCTGTAGTGGTTATATATGAAATGTAATTCGTTTGGGGAATGTCTAATGGGCAATATTCAGTCTCAGTATATAAGATATATTATTATATTATTAAATGTTGTAACATTGTTAATGTAATTATTCTCTATGTATTATTTTGCTTATTTGTGTGTTTTTACCATTCAATAATGATTTTAAGAATTTACTGTATTTAATTTATTGGATTTAAAGATTAATTGTATTTATTGTAGTATTTATTCAACAGCATTTTAAATATTGATTATCTGATATGAATTGTATACCTGATGTCTTAATTGTGGCTGAATAAATTTTTCCTCTTAATATCTGACCTGTTTGATCCCATTTATATTGGTGAGGACAGACTAAATGAGAAACTGCTGTCAGTATAATCCAGTACAGTTCAACAGCACCACAATCTACAACTCAACACTTCAATAAAATGTTAGACTTAATATAATATTAAACTGCTTTTGTTTTTTCTAGGTGTACCAAGTAAACTGTCAAGTCTCCATAAAAATGTAGACAGAAAGCATAATGATGAGACAAATGCAGTGAAGGACAGTAACTATTTACTCAAGTAGCTACTGTACTTAAGTACAAATCTGATGTACTTGTACTTTGGGTATTTCCATTTTGCGCTACTTTATACTGACAGGGAAATACTGTACATTCTACTCAAGCTACATTTATCTGATAGCTATAGTTACTTTTAAGATAGTTTGTTTTATATGTTGTAAGTTTCATATTTACAAGTTGATGTGCGTTGTTATACATTAGACTAGTACACCAGTGAAAGGTGTTAAAATTTAGTTCTACCATGACAACATTTAAATGCTGCTTACATGTACGTTGATCAATTAATACTCAATACATATTCATGTATATGATGATAACAACACTTGAAAGTGGGTCACTCTGCATAATGAGTACTTTTAACTTTTTATTCATTCATTTCATTCATCTCATCACGTCTCATCCTCATCCTCCGCCTCATTCTCCGCTGTCTTTCTCGGATCTGCCTCCTCAGCTGGGCAGCCTCCTCCTCAGCCTTCAGGTACAGAAATCCTGCTGCAATAACTGCACCAAGATGCCTTCTCCGATCCATGTCCGTTATTGATTTTTGATTTCAATCTCGCCAATGCTTATGATCACAATAACCACCAACTCTCCACAAATTTTCCTCCCGCACCTGACTTTTGATTATTATCAGAGGCCAGGTGTGGGAATTGGATAGGCTATACATTAAATATGATCAAGCTGTGGGGAAAAGGTTTTATAAGACATTTTATGAAACTATTTTGGCTATTTATATGTTTTTGTGTGTAAGTTATATATGTTGAAACGTTAAAAACATATACACATTAATTTCTTACAATGTCTATGAAAAGATGCAGGGCTGGACTGTGATTATATTGTTTTATTCTAAATGCATGGATACAACACAGTACAACAGCAAAGGCGAGAGGAGGTGGTGACATCATCAAGTTCGCTGCTGTTCCAAAAGCAGAAATGAGTGTACTCCCGTCCTCCCGTTCTTGGGAAGTCCGGACTCTCGCGCGGACTTACCAAGTCCGAACTGCTGAACTTGTGTATTGAGAAACGGCTACTGATTCGGCCATCTTGTAGTCCTCTGTTGTCAGCCATTTTGTTTTGAAGGCCAGACAGCCCTTTGTATCACACACCCATCCTTCTGTCTCTCTCTGTGTCTCGCGTGCGTGTGCGCATGCACACATGCACACACACACACACACACACACACACAGCCTAAACACATTTATACACCAGTTAGTTAGTTAGTTATAATTTGTGTTTTGTTGCTTTGCTGTCTTTGTAAATAAATATATTTGCAATTGTACCTGCTGTCTGTTTAATATTGCACAAGAGTGAATGAATAGTCAACCTCTGCTGTGTCAAGAACTCTAAAATCCTTCAGCCTTTACTATTAATATGGTAATTTTGGTCATAGTTATAAATTTAGCTTTTAATCAAAATTCCAAATTGATAGTTTAGTAAATTTTTGAGACTGATATCATTGACTGGCTATAATTTTTCCCTTTTCGGGAACGGTGCCCCATGAGGTGATTTAATGTAAATTAAGTCATATTATTTAACATAATTGTGATTAATAATTATTAAGTGTTTCCGATAGCCATTTTGATACTCTAATTGGACATCTATAATGGAGATCTATTACGAGGCTTAGATTCCAACAAGGGTAATAATCTGCAGATTTTTAAAAATCATTCTGTACTTGTGCATTGCTATGGAATGGTAACATAACTTTAAAAACAATAAAGCAGATGGTGTGTTCACTATGAAGATTTTAATCTCTGCAAACTGATGTTCATGTTGGAGGAAAAGGAACAGAAAGCAGTGGCTAGCTTGAAACATGTTAAACACTAAAAAACACCAGTATGTTCAGGAAATGGTCAGAAATAATGTCAGTCTATAATTTGGTCAGAGAAGAAAGTGTGCATGCTTATGTGTGTGCAGCGGTGTGAGTATGTGCATGTGCAGCAATGTAAGAGAATATCACTGAGACAGAGGAAACAGGAGAGTGACCCCAGACTTCTGGAACAAAGAGGCAGGCTGAGGTTTAGAGGCTGACTGCAGCAGCAGGAAAAAAATGGGAAGGGGAGGAGCACAGAAGGGGACAGGCAACAACACACACATCTGGAAACAATTGAGGAGGGAGAGGAAGAGAGACCGTCGAAGAAAGAGAGAGGTGAATATTTGTTAACGAAAGAAAACACAGATAGGGGGAATCTTTCCATTTGGAAAATTACATGCATTCAATACAGAGTTCAGAATCGGGGAAGAGAACAAGCTAACTGGAGAAAGCGGGCAGGCACAATCTACCAGTGAAGAACAATATAGAGGAAGAGAAGACAGGAAAGCTGATTGAAAAGCCTGGCTGGTTCAGGGATCAGTCCGAAGGAGATCTAAAAGGAAAACTGAGTAAAGATCAAAACCAAGAAGTGAAGGAGCGGGGAGTTACCAAGAGAAGGGTGACAAAGACAGACAGAAAGGGCTGAAACTCATCTTCAGGTAAGGTCTTCAATCACAGTTCCAAATACAAAGATAATAAATCTGGACACCAGAAACTCCACTTTAATTAAGTGCCATGTTCAAAACCATGTCTTAAATGAATACGCTGCATATTTCATCCTGATTATCACTGGAAATGTTGGTGTTTAGTCTACATGCATCAAAATGGAACTATATTTCCATTGTGCAAAGCATCTGTGTATCTCATTAGACACTAGGCTGTCAAAAGCAAGACCCGAAAATAAGTCAAGATTTATGCTGGTGAGATTTACAAAAAGTCAGGGAGGGGAAGTATGTTTCTAACATAGGCACTGGAAACAGGAAGTTTTCCTGGATGCTGTCCCCATGAATCCTCAAACCCTGCTTACATGTTGCAGAAGAGGACATCCATACTTATTATGTCTACAACTACCCAAACATTTACCATGGCAATGGCTGATGAAAAACTGTAATGTGTTGGGGTTGCTGTTGTAAATTACTGTAGGTAATCTTCTCACTCCATCTCTGGGAGCGCCCTTGACTGGTTTTGCTCCTACCTTTCAGAAAGGGGTTTCTCAAAGTCTCTTTCCCATGATGTACCTCAGGGCACTGTCTTAGGTCCAGGGGTCACGTTAACCGGATATTCTCGGTCATTGACCGTTTTTTTACAACAATGACCGGAAAATCTGAAGGCCGTCGGTCATTTTGACCGGTTGCAATTACCACCCCTGCCCACTTGGCGGCGGAGTGCACAGTCAGTGGTTTAAGTAGCTGCCGTTTTCACACTGCATAGAAAAAGTCATTCCTCTGCTTCATGTAGCGTTGTTGACACAACGCCCTGGACACACCGGACGCGGAACCGAAGCACGGCGCCCAGCGGAGGCAGTTTTCAGTCAGCGCCCATGTTAACCTATTTGACTGTCCATAGAGGCCGCTGAGCAGAGCGGAGCGCCCGCGGAGGCAGCGCTTCAGTTCGGCGTCTGGTCTATTTTTCACGGGAGCCGCGAGCACTTCTGTCAAGCTGGATCGAGCGGATTGTACCAAACAGGAAGTCGGACACAGAAAAGACGAGAGAATCCGGCCAATTTTCAAAATACAATAACAACAGCACGCACTGAGGAACGTGAGGAGAAAATAGTGTTTATAATTTAAAATAACACAACAGTGCATAACCGAACACATTTTTCAATACCATAATCACTTCATTACAATTTTAATTTTGTGTCACCGAGCCTACAGGCATAACTACATAACGCCCTGGACACACCGGACGCGTTAGTGCCGTCCGGTGTGTCCAGGGCGAAGCCTAATGGCACGGGTGTGTGGATGTCTGTTCATCTTTTCGTTCATGTCCTTATTAATGCACACTTTATAACTTGCTTGTTGGATTTATTAAAAACGAACGAATGGAAACTAAATGTCTTTGAATATCTTTATTATCATTTAAAAACGAAAATTAAAATGACTGGTAAAAATATATTATGACCGGATTATTATGACCCTGTCGGTCAAAATGTCCGGCGACTAAAAAGTCTAGCGCAACGTCTGCTTATGTCGTATATTATTTGCATTATACATGCTTTCACTGGGTCACATTAATAGCCACTTCACAGGTATATCATATCACTGTTGACACTGCTGACAACATTCAACTCAATTTCTTGTTTAAGCCTGTTAGCACTGACAAACTTGCTGTTCTGCACAACTGTTTGATAGCCATCAAGGATTGGATGTCAAACAACTACTTATAGTTAAACACAAATAAGACAGAGGTTCTGATAACTGCTTCAGATAGTATAAGCTTCAAAGGTTGCCCAGAGTATTGGGTCCCTTTCTTCAGCTACATGGTCAAATTTTAGGAATTTTGGTGTTTATTTTGATCAGGCCATGCATTTAGATCCCCAGATTTAAATCACTGACCCATACCTGTTTTCTACAACTAAGAAATATTGCAAAGCTCAGGTCTGTGGTTTCTCAACTTGAGCTAGAGATGATTATTCAGGCTTTTGTGTCCTCCCAAATGGACTACTGTAATTTTCTTTTTACTCGACAAATCATGAGCCATCTACAAATAATCCAGGATGCTGCTGCTAACTAGGTCCAGCAGGACAACACACATCACACCCATTTTAGTTTCTTTAGACTGGCTTCCCATCAAGTTTAGGATTAATTTCAAAGTACAAGTTCTCATGTATAGAGCCCTCCAAGGTCAGGCACCTGAATACATCTGTGACCCTCTCCATCCATATATTGGCAGTAAGTCTCTTAGGTCTTCTGACCAGGACCTACTGGCTGTCCCCTGCTCCAGGCTCACAACAAAAGGTGATGGTGCCTTGAAGTAGTGGCTTCAACACTATGGAACTCCCTTTTTGTGTAGGTATATGGCCTGCAGTCTCCTTAGAAACTTTTAAAGAACAACAGAAGATGCTCCGCAGTAGCCTGTTTATGCTCTATGTTTTATGGTATTTTACTTTATTTTCATTTTGTTGCTTTGTTTTTAGTTTTGTATTGCCTTTGTTTTTATTGATTGCATGTTTTCTTGTTTGATTGTATTTTGTGAGGAATTTTGTGAACTTTATTTCTGTGAAAGGTGTTATATCAAATACATTTATTATTTATGTATAATTATTATGTTGACTGACTATCCACAAGTAGCTAGTAGAAACATGCATAGGCATGACAAGAGCAAAAAACAAAGTTTCCCCCTTCTTTAATTTTTATACAGTCATTAAAACCACACAGTTATTTGTATCATACTTAACCAGAGCAGCTACTCCTCAGTGTTTTGAAACATGCTTTGTAAGATCTGTGCTCGGAGCTCTGAGTCACAGGTTTGCTGTGGTCATGGGAAATGCCTTCAGCAGTATAATTAAGTCTACTGAGAAGAGGAGGGAGCTTCCTTCCTGTCAACTTCCTGTGTCAAACTGTGTGGTCAGTATGAGGACCACTTAGAGGCAAATCCCACTTCCACTGTGAACCTGCTCACACACACGGACATCATAGTTTTTTTTAGAACAATGACTGTAAAGTGCTGTTTCACAGCTAAGTATTAATGGCCACTGAAAACATCAGAAAGCAGCTACATCAACACACACACACACACACTTTAGTCGCTATAATTATTCCTCCTTTTATAAGGGCTCTGAAGTGACCACTTCCAAACATGATTCCAGCGGAAGGACTGGGTATAAAATCCAGTCTTCATCCTGTGCAAAGAGAACAGGAAGTTAAAGCAGTCAGTCAAATTAAGAATGTTGTATCATGGCAACAAAGTACAACATGTGACTACCAGAACGTATCACTCCGTCACGGTACAGCATGGAAACATGGTCAGTGGAAATACAAACAGTGGTGTGACCAGACTGTCTTAACTGGGGTCACCCACATGGGATACTGAGTAATACAGGGATGGCATGAAGTATGCACACACACACACACTCACACACACACACACACACACACACACATTGGCATGGCATTAATTTGCCCTTTTTGTCTCTCAAACAAACAACAAAATTGAAATAAATGTATGGACAATATATATTGTAATGGAAAAAAAACGTCCAAAACTTTAAATCTACAGTACAATGCTCAGTACAAATAAAATAGTAAAATACCACAAAAGCTTCTAGCACAAGATACATTTCTTAATTACAACCATCCTAAACAAAATCAAAAAATACATTTACAGTGTAAAGTGTTCACTAAGATAATGTCAAACTTTGGTTCAAACTAAGGTCCAGCAGTGGCGCTCCCAGAATTCTTTATAAGGGAGGCCAAATAGGGCTGTAGGTTGACCTGTGCATCACTACTGGGGCAGCATTATGCCTGCACTGCTTGGCTCTGTGTGAAAAAGCAATGGTGGAGTGATGAAGGGTCCCTATAGCAGCTATTGCACAATCTCTGTGTAAACAGGGGGGCCATGCCCTCCCTTGGGGGTCCGGAGAGCCAATCATAGTTTAGGATAAAAGGGTGGCCAGTCAGATTTCAGGGGCGGCCACTCCCTGGACACACCCCTGAACACAGAGAACAGAAAGTTTATTTGTTTAAACTGTAAAGCTGTAAAGAGACAAATATGAAATTTGTTTTTTTAAAGATTATTTGTTTGGGACTTTTTGCCTTTAATGGACAGGATAGTGTGAAATGGGGAGAGAGAGAGAGAGTAGGGGGGACAACATGCAGCAAAGGGTTGCAGGCTGGAGTCGAACTTGCGACTGCTGCAGCGAGGCATCACCTCTATACATGGGGTGCCAGCACTAACAACTTAAGCGACCAACCCCTCACAAATCTTTATCATTCTTCTTCACAACAAACGTTTTCCATCTTTCCCCTCACACACCAGCCCTCTCACCAAGAAGACCCAAAACAGACCACAACAAAGCCATCAAAGAGACTGTACATTCATTCCTTAGCTAGTTATTTAACCATAGTACATGAAAGCACAAACACGCATAGTAGCCAGTCTAAAAGGGGATTATGGTTGTGCGGAGACCCTACGCACGTCGCCCATTGCGAGAAGTATACTTGCTGCAGACAACGCGTGTGCGTACGCATCATGGCTGCCATGCGTATTTTGCGGTTGTTTGATGCATAGGCCGCTCATTTTGACGTGAGGTAACGTGACGCGTGCGCGAGATGCAATATTGATATGAACACTAGAGGCGCTCGTGCGAAGTAGACCTCTAGAGACCGTGAACGTGAGGTCGGGCCGCACTTACCAAGTCACAAGTCAGGTTTGAGGGGCCAGATAGGAGGACCTCTGATCAATCAATTCAATCAATCAGTTTTATTTATAAAGCCCAATATCACAAATCACAATTTGCCTCACAGGGCTTTACAGCATACAACATCCCTCTGTCCTTTGGACCCTCACAGCGGATAAGGAAAAACTCCCCAAAAAAACCCCTTTAACGGGGAAAAAAAAAATGGTAGAAACCTCAGGAAGAGCAACTGAGGAGGGATCCCTCTTCCAGAACGGACAGACGTGCAATAGATGTCGTACAGAACAGATCAGCATAATAAATTAACAGTAA